TGCCTGATGGGCTTCAGCACTCACCGCCGCGCGGCGGAGACCACTGAGTTGCGCTTCCCTGCATCACTTCCCTCCAACAGGGCCTTGCGAACTGAGAAAAGGGCCTGGGCTGCAGGTGGTAAAGTGCTCCCGCCTTTCACCGCCGGGCCCCTCCCCACTTTCTTTGGGAACACTCCCAGGCCCTGTGCGGGATAGAACTCCCTAATCCGGGAACCTAAATTAGCAATGTGGTCTCTGCAAAACCGCACGGAATAGCCCTGCCTTTTTTGTTGTGATCCGCCCCGCCCCCTGCTGGACACGCCTGGAGGGGCGGCCCATGACTCCAGGCATCCAATGTGTCCTGCCCGCAGCCTAAAGTAACTGCGGCAACCCCAGTCCTCTATTCACATAGGAGTAGCCCTCAAAACCTTCTCGATTGGTCCCAGGGCCTAGGGCAAGGGCGTTGCCAGGCCAGAACAGACCTGTGGGGTCTCCACTATTCACACAAGAGCTCAATCACTTTTTTACCAGGTCCACAAGGACTGTCCAAGGATGAACATTCCCTTCCTGAGACTTGGGACCTATTGTGCATGGAGGGAGGGTTAGCCTGCATGTTTTGGGCGTCCAGCGCCTGAGTCAACCAGCACAGGTTATGGGAATGGTCTGTGCTTGGTTATGGCTTGAGATAGGGCCAAATGCATTGACCACAAAGTTTCTCTTATGCAGGGCCATGGTGGCTCCCAGACAAGTGAGTTGTTAAAGTATATACACACGGAGACACTAAGGACCACCGTGGGCACTTCTGAGGACATGGGAAAAGGGAGCCCTCTCTTGTGCCTCTTTTCTGGGATAGCATCTTATCCTGCATCCCCCTCCACCCTCAACACTCCTCTTCTCAGGGCCAAAGAGCCTCTGCAGCTAGCCAGGCCTCAGTACATCATAAATGCTTTGAAATGGGGAAATTTGCCCTGGGATGTTTTCCTTTCTGGCCCACTTCACCTCTAGCACTATGAAACCTGGTCATATCCTGGACCTTACTGTGGAGAAATTTCCAGTATCATATGTGCATCCTTGGAAGAAAAGGATTCCCAGGGCAGAAATTTTAGAGGGGTTGGGGAGTGGGGCAGGGTGCTAGCTAGAGATCCCTAGCCTACTCAGAAGTCCTCCTCTGCTTGCTCTACCTAAAGTTGCTATCATCCTCCACCATTTCTCAGAGTAGACCCCTGCAGTGATTCATTGGCTGTGCAAATGCAGTTTAAAGGCAGGCTGTGGCTGGGGGGCCATCAGACACCTCAGAAGCTACAGTTCCCAGCTGATGTGGCTGGGGCAGTTTAACCCTGGTATTCCCTGTGAGTCCAAAAAACATGCAATACCTGTACTTTGGATAATAATGATCATCACATTCATTGCATTCCGCTGTCATATATAAATTAAAACAAACAAACAAACAAACAAAAAATTCAATAGAGCAAGTTGGATTTTCTTGCCTGTGACAACTCTCCATGCTGTGCTCCTAGAAAGACCCCACTCCCCACTACAATAATCTTCTTGCATCCAAATGTCTGTCTGGGCGCCCAGAGGAGATGGGGTGGATTTCAGGAGCAAAGAAGCTGGTAGAGCTGGCCAGCTGGGAATCAGCTGGGGCCCATCCTAAATTTGGCCTGCGGTTTTAATGTGAAGGAGGCGGAGGAGATACACAGCCTTGAAGAATCATCTCCCCAAAGGACATTAGGAGGAGTGATAATCCCTGCGGGGAGCTTGGAGTTCTCTCTGTGAAGAGACCAGGAGCGCCTTGGGTAAAGAACAAGTTTTGGTCCCTTCTTCCAGAATGTAGCTAGGGGTTCGAGGCGCCCTAAGGGAAGTTTTCCCAGGTACCCCCTTCATTGCTTACAGGGGGAAGGGAAAGACGTCCTGGGATGATCTGAGGATCATACTGAGGTCACCTCAGCTCCACGGAGGTGGGACCTGAAATACCCTAAGCCTTTTATTATCTTGTTATCAGGCTCAAAGGCGTCTCGTTCCCAACTTCCAGGGCGCTGTTGGCTCTGTGACGCCACAGCCTCCTCCAGCAGGCACAGTGGCGTCCCACAAACCTCTGACTAGAGCGCAAGGGCACATTTCTACAGTGTAACCTATTTACGTAGCATTATGAAGTCACATAAGTGTCCTTCCCGGGGTCGCGACATCCAGGCTTCCCAGTCCCGCCCCGAGAATCCTGCCCTCCTAAGAGCCACGAATCGTTTTGTCCCCACCAACAGGTTCCGCGGACGTGAATCGCAGACAGGTGCCTTGAGTGAAGGTCGGTGGCCATCAACGCCCTCCGCTGAATCCAGTGATATAGAGTGGTCTCTACCAGCAGCGAGTTTTGGCACCTGTTGAAGTTGCACAGCCGCCCCGCCCACCCGGGCCCCGCCCACCTTGGCCTGCCCCGCCCACCTTGGCCGGCCCCTGCCCGGGCCGACTCCCCGCCTACAGCGCAAGCTCCGCGCGCAGGCGCAGAAGGAACTCACTGGCCTGTTCGGTGGCTGCAGGAGGAGCTCGGGCTCTGCGGCGGTCCTGGGTAATCACCTTCGAATTCCACGTTCTGCTTTTAGGGATCCCAAACTCCACGGAACACTGGTCCAATGCCTGCATCCAGCATCCAGACATTGGTCTATGTGAGCGCTAGAGATGCAGACGGAGGGGGTCGATTTGCGTTAACGCGGGCTGGAAACCCTTGACTTGAGACAGTGGCATCTGCAGTCCCACGCAGCAATAGTCCGAGGGAAGTCCTTGGGATCTGAGCCAGCAGGGAGAGGCGGGGTCTGCCTGTTAGGGTCGCTGAGACACAGGTCTTGGCCCCCCGGCCCCACACAGCATTGGTCTCCCACCTATTCGATCCGACTTTGTTTAGAACCAAACAGGCCCAATTTGCATCTATTTCAGATGAAAAATGCACGACAGACGTGAAATTCTTCGTTGGAATTCAAACTCAGTGGCAGAGAAAAAGTTAGAAGGTGTATTTTCTTCCAGTCTAGGGACCAGGAGACCGAGTTTTTCCTCAAACACAAAAGCTTTTGGGAATGTTCCCCAGTTTTCTTCCTGTAATAATGCTCTTCCTCATTCAGCTGATGTAGAGTCATACACATTCTGTCAATGTGTTCATTACTTGAAACAAAAAGTGCGCTTTGATGTGTGGTAGAATATCGTAGGCATTTGTGAAACATCATGTAAATATATTATTAGAATGCTTCTCTCAGCATCCTGCAGTACCTGCTGCCTGTGCTGCCTTATAATCCAATCTTCCCCGTCTTCGCTGTCATAATTCAGGGATCCTGACAAGCGATGAGAATGGGAGAAGGCCACCTGAACTGGTGGTCCTGAAACCTCTGGAAAAACTTTTCCAGTTTTGTGGGGACAAGTGGCTTAATCAATTTGCATATTATGTTTGGTTAGGAAGGTAGTGAAAGCCTATAAGAGCCATTACTCATTACTGGATTGCAACATATGTTCAGGGAGTAAAAACCAACCTCAGGGAGACTGAGGTGTGCAGCAGGGCAAGGGCCTAAGCATGGAAAATATCTGCTTATATAGGTATGTGCTCAAAGACACACCTGCAGAGTGAAACACCCTCTGTGAGTTTGTCTTTTTTTTTTTTTTTTTTTGCTTTGTGCAAGAGCATGCTAGCTTAAGAAAAAGAAGGTCACACAACCCTATTACATGGTAGCATCTTTCAAAACATTCCTCTACACAGTCACCCTAGTCCTAGATATTTGCTGCCATTCTTGGACAGTTTTCCTGGCCATTGCTAGTTCCAGTTCCAGCAATGAGGATAAAGGATTAACCGAGAAAAGTGATGTGATGGATGTTGGTTTGAGTGTTTTTGTTTCTCTTTTCCAAACACTGAACTTGCTCTTAGCAGTTAGGCCATCTCTGGGGATGTATAAAGTTCAATTAATTCATTTTAAATGTTTGGTTTGATTGCTCTTTTACTAGGGAGATAAGATAAGGGCTTTTGTCATGATAAAAAGGGATGGATTGCTCTCTATCATTGGAAGGAGTGGGCACCACTTGGAGCATGGTGACATGAGATGAGAAAGGATAGGGATGTGGAATAAAATCAGTAGATATAGTCTAGGAGTGGCTAGATTATTTACCTCTCAAGTGACAAGAGAGAGAATAGGAATTTCCAGAGCATTTGGACCTTCTTCTTATGGTTGATATCTTGAATATCTCCCCCAAAGCTCATGTGTTGAAAGCATGATTCTCAGTGCAGCGAGGTTCAGAGGTGGGGCTTTTAAGCACAGATTAGGACTCTGACCTCATTAGTGAATTAATATAGTTGCTGGATTCATTCATGAATAACTGAAATATTATGAGCTCTAGGCAGGTGGAGCAGGGTCGGGGGAGGTAAGTCACTGGAGGCATGGCCTTGGGGACTATACCTGTCTTGGTCCCTTCCTTTGTTTTCTCTCTCTGTTCTCCAGCTTCTGAGAGCTCAGCAGCTTTCCTCTGCAGTCCCCTTCTGCCATGATGTTTCTGCAGTCTGACCACGAACTGACATCTCCAAAACTGTGAGCTACAAGAAACCTTTCCTCCTCTAAGTTGTTCTTGGTTTGTTCACAGTGAAAAAAAAGCTGACTTGCCTTTAATAATGAAATTTACTTGGAAGATGGTCCGCTTCTTATTAACCTATGTTGAGGGCTGAATGTCTGTTGTTGTGCAGTTGATTGCTTCAGTATGTTGAAGCATCTGTAGCACCTTTTCCAGGTCTGTGGTAGGCAAGTGTGGTGCTGGAGCTATTAGGAACTGTCTGGATGTCCTTGTCATTGGAGAGATTGGTCAACACTGAAACATTTGAGCAGGGATACTCTGAGATAATTATGGATACTAGAGAGTTTTTAATAACTGTTAAGAGAAATTCATGTGTTCATAAGAGCCATCTCTTCAGTTATAAGAGTTATATCTTCTAGTTTTCATTTTTTAAAATTTCTTTGTTAATTCCCAACTTTGATACTTTAGTCAATACACTCATATGCATATAATAACTATTTAACCTATTTACATTTATTGTGATAATGTATATTTTTCTATTAACTTCTACAGTTTAACTTCTATAATCCCATTTTACATTTCTAGTTTTGAAAAACTTTTGATGCCCCATTCTTGACTTCTGATTAAAATGATTAGTTTTAGCTCAATTTCTTGAGTGATTGCTCTTAAATGTTTAACATTTTTACTTAGAGTCTCAAGTTCAGTAATGATATATCACTTGGACTCTTTAATAATACAATGAATATACTTAACACCTAAAAAGGTCCCTAGTTATTTGTTACTCCAAATTCCCTGACTCTTTAAATACTCCTTGGTTTTGGCTGCTTGCCTAAGGGGCATTAATCTTTTATATTTCACATAGCTGCTGGGAAAAGGAGAATATTCACGAGGTCGACACAACCAAGCTCAGATTTGTCTCTTCTTGATGACCAGCAGTACACATAGGGACTCCTTAGTGTTTTGGTTGGGACAGTGGCAGTGGCTGGAGCATCATCACTATGGGAACAAGGAGAAGCAGTGGTAGGGCTTATCCAGCTAGGAAGCCAGGCAAGCTGTTATCCCTAGCAAAGGCTGATTTTTATTTTAATTGTCTTAAGTATGTATTTAACTGAGCCAAGGAGGATTGGAAATGTTAGAAGAGGACTCTGGGTTGTGATAGGTTCCTCCAGTGTCCCCTACCCCAATATTCCCACTAAATATTTCCAAACATACAGAAAGATTGAAAGAACTTTATACTACTACCCAGTGACCCACCACCTATATTTCACAATTAAAATTTTTGCTATACTTGCTTTATCACATACCCATCTCTCAAGCCATCCTTCCATTTTTTTTCCAAAAGGGGAATTGTACAAACATAGAGAATAATTGAAGGTTTAGTACCAGGAACGCCTTCAGATCTTACTCATAGAGTCATAATCAACATTATTCTGTAAAATTTGGTTCCCTATCAGTCTTCTCTCTGAACTATTTGAAAGTTCCAGGCCTCATTATATTTCACCTATAAATGCTTTGGCCCATACACTATGGTTTAGATATGTTTTGTCTCCCAATGGTATATGTGCTAGAAGCAGGGTCTCCAGGGTGATGATGTTGAGGTGGTGGAAACTTGGAACATGGTTAGGCATTGGGGATACCTCTCTGAGAAGGAATTAGTGCAGTTCTTGTGGAATCCTGGTAGTTCCTGAGAAGAGTGGTTGGTAGAATAACTAACTTCAAATCCCTCTTTTCTGCACAGGCTGGTTTCCTTCTTACTTCTCTGCTATGTTGTAATTCAGCCAAGGAGGCCCCTACCATCGTTGAACAGATGAGGACCACCTTACCTTTTTTTTTTTTTAAGTAAATAAAAGTTTATTGAGCTCATAGTTCTGGAGGTCTGAGGACACAGCACAGCATTAAATCACCGCGAGGGGGCTCATGGTGGATAGCATCACATGGAGGGGTCATGTGGAAGGGGCACATATTGAAAGAGGAAGCAAGAAAGAAGCAAGGAAGCCAAACTTATATCCTAACCACTCATTCTTGCGGTAACCTAGCCAGTCCCAGGACAGTGTGAACTCACTCCCGTGAGGAAAGCATTAATTCCTCTTAATAGACCCAAATACCTCTCAAAGGTACCACCTGCCAATACTTCCACATTGGGGACCAAGACAGGCTGGTCTGCTTTAAGAAAACAGTGTTGAGAGCTTCAGTCTGCACAGCCCTATAGACAATGAGCCTTTGGACTGATGTTCCTTGTTTCGTTGGTTTTGGGTTTTTTTTTTTGGTACAGGGGATTGAACCCAGAGACACTCAACCACTGAGCCACATCCCCAGCCATTTTTTAAAAAAATATTTGATTTAGAGACAATCTCACTGAGTTGCTTAGGACCTCAGTAAGTTGCTTAGGCTGGCTTTGAGCTCAGGATCTTCTCACCTCAGCCTCCTGAGCAGCTGGAATTACAGATGTGTGCCACTGCCTGGCACATTCCTTGATTTCAACACATCAGTCATTCTCCCTGAACTGCAGAAAACCATTTCAGATATACTGAATAAGGACACTTTATCTTGGACTTTCATCTCCAAAACTGTCAGCTAAATAAACTTCCTTTCTTCATTAAGTACCCAGCTTTAAATATTTTGTTACAGCAATATAAAACAGACTAAGAGACATACATATTTCAGGAATAAAGGTGTTATTTTTACATTATTATCACACTGGAGTGAAATAGCAATATTTTTTTTCCATTCAACTATTTTTTTTTTATTGTTGGTCGTTCAAAACATTACATCTTTCTTGATATATCATATTTCACAGTTTGATTCAAAAGGGTTATGAACTCCCATTTTTACCCCGTATACAGATTACTGAATCACATCAGTTACATCAATTACATTTCCATTGATTTACATATTGCCATTCTAGTGTCTGAAATAGCAATATTTTTATGATAAAATATTTCATCTACATTCAAATTTACCAACCTTTTGAATTATTTTTTCATTACTAAAACAAAATACCTGCCACAGGTTGCTTATGAAGTAATG